ACCATTTATCATCAAGTAGCAGCCCTTGTTGGAATTGATATTGATTCTTAGTAAACTGCAACCAGGGTAAACTTGTTATATCATCACAAATTTCGCCCACTACATCATTTAGATATGAGATGCCTCCTTAACTTATGTCCATATGTTTTTTCTTCTGTACTCAATCATATAGGATCCAACACTGTGTATGGAAGTAACACAAAATGCTTTTGGCCATTTTTGAAGTAAATATCTCTTGAAGAAATTACAGTATAAATGCATGAAATACAATCATTATTCTGAAAGGTTATCTTGTGATTAGGTATTTTCAAAATGTGACTGAGGCTAACATTTCATAAAATTTATTCTAGAACGTGAGATTTCTGACTTGCAACTTAGTTTTTTTTAATCCATATTACCCTTTATCTCTATCCTGAGAGAGAGTGCAAAGAGAGAAAGAAAAATGCAAATCTATTAGTATAGTTATTTCTTGGCAGATAGAAAAGAAGTAGGGAAGAGTTTAAATTATAATGGTAGATTTACTGTGGTTTATCCACTTCACCAGTGTGGAGGAGATATAATTCCTCTGTCTTTCACTGGCTGGGATAATTAAGAATTATCTGGTATGTTTTAAAAGAGGTGGAGCAATTATCTTTTAAACTAATCCCACAAATGACAAAGATCCTTTAACATTTAAAACCGTATCTTCCTTTATAAAAGTACATGGAATCTTTTGCATTAATTACATTTTCTAATATCATAAAAGTTAAAACATCTTCTCCCATATCCATTTTATTAGCTATTTTTATTCATCGCTGTCTCATGTAATATACAAGTCATTTATATAAAACAAATATAAATAAAAATCAAAAGAAAAAGAGCAAACTTATCCATATTAGCAGGGGAAAAAAACTATGAAGAAATTCTAAAATTGCACTGTACACTTAATGGAATATACTGGGCAACATGTACTTAAATAAATATATCTAGAAAGAAGAAGGCAGCAATAGAAATTAAAAATTTGGGGTACACTGACTAGATAAAAGGACAATGACAAGATCATGTATAAAAATAGAACTCTGACCCACAATCTGCAGCAGCCTAACCAGAAAGTAAATCCCCTTACTCCCATAAACAGCCCAGATTCGTAAGAAGTCAGATTGCTATCACTAGTAACAATCTAGGAAGCTAAACAATTATCTGTAACAATCAGCCCCAAATGACCACAATTTGATTAATAACTGACAGCTTTCCCAACTTTTGTCCTTGCTTCCAACTTTTGGCCAACTGGAGAAAGCCAAATATGCGCCCCATCACCACCCCTTCCGTTAGCCTGACTACAGGTCACCAAGCTGACAGCCTCCAATCAGTGTGTATGTGAAGACATTTTCCCCTATAAGATTTTCCACTTTTCTGTCTTCCTTTCAGTCTCTGCCAAAATGCAGGTGAGGGTATGCGACTCCCTTGCTATGCAATCTCTGAATAAATGGCCTTTGCTTTTCTCATTTTGCTAATCATCATTTATTTCCATATTATAGACCATCTACTAAAGGTCCATCAATGGGCTACATGCTTACATATACAAAATTAATCTTCACAGTATTCTCTGGGAAATTCTTTTCCTGTTTTACAGATGTAGGGAATTATTTATAAAAGTTAAATAGCTTCTTGCTTTCTCCTATTTACATCATGCTAGAGTAAGAACTTTAAGTATATATATTATTTTGATAAAAATAGTTAAGATAATAGGAAAAGTATATCTAACAATAAATCAGCTATACATTAGATTGTGTATTTAATTAGTATTAAACATTAGTATTCATCAACTTTCTGGACAAATATCAACATTGTATTTTGAAATGAGCTATTACTTTAAAATTAAAATTTATCAAATTACCTATATAATTTAAAATAATCAAAAACACTATAAAAATACCTTTTACAAATTATTTTCTATTAGAATACATCTGCAGAAGTAATTTTCTTGCTAAGCAGTGATCAACACTATTTTCATAGATAATGGGTAGAAAACCTTATAAGTAGGATGGTTATTTATGATACATGATATTGATAAAGAAAAAAAGTAAAAATAAAATTGCAGTGATTCTAAAATGAGGATAACAAATGTTTATTTGCCTGCCACTATACACACTGCAAATTTTTAAAAATTTATTACCTAACACTCATATAAGATTGGAACTATTGTGTTTATTTCAAAAATGAGGAAACAAAGCCTTGGAAATATTCATAATATTACGTAATACTTCTTGGGTAGTGTGTGGTGTCTGTATTTCAATTATGAATTATATTTGGTTTCAAAGTCCATTGAATATGCTTAAGAAACATTAGATAAAAATTCACTTCAAGATATTCCTTTACCACACAATTTATAATTTATTTCTGACTCTAAAATAACTTAGCCTGATAAGAAAGTAACAAAGAGCAGGATATGACAACATAGGCACATATTATAAATTATCATAAAAGATATATTAAGCCAGTTATAAAAAAAATTAGAACGTATTGATGACTAATGAAGGCTTTTTTAAAAGCTAGTCAAGTGAAGCAGTGGGATGGAGAAGGAACAAAGGAATCT